CTGCCCTGACAGACCTGCCACTCCCTGCTCTGCCTGTGTGTCCAGAATTCCCGCTTCACACCAGGCAGCTCTCAGGCAGGCAAGCTGACCAGGGGGAACAGAGCTCTGCTGCCCCCTAACTTTGTGCCTAGGCCTGAGGGCGAATGAATTCCCTTCAGGAAGGCTGAGTTCTTATCTGTCAAATGGCTACAAAATAATCTCTTTTGAATGCTGCCTTAGGAGATGGAATGACCCTCACCCTCTCCCCAAGTCTACTCACGGGTGATCTGATGCCCCTTCTGTCCCCACCAGTCCCCTTTCCCATCCTGAGCCCCACTGGGGAGCCTTTCAGATAGATCCTTCCGGGCCCGGTGGAACTGCAGTTTGGGGCCTGAGCCCCCACTCCTCCTCTAACCAGGTTTGAGAATGTTGACTTTCTAGCTGGTGAAAGTCATTTTCTGTTGTGGGCTCCCTCAGGGAGCCTGGAATCCAGCCCCTCACTGTACCGGGAGGAAATAGACCAGAGAGGGCAGGCCTTGCCCAAGGTCACACAGCAGAGTAGGAGTGGCCGAAGAACCACTTGGGGCCAGAGTGGGGAGCAACTTAGCCAGGCATATATGCCCCAGGATAGGAGTGAGAGTGTGATGGTGGAGGCAGCCCTCTGCAGAGCAGGTCTGACAGCTCAGCTTCTCTCACCACTCTGGGATCGGGAGGGCTCAGGCTGCTGTGGGGTCTGAACATTGTGCCCCGGGCACAGCTCTCCCTTTGCCTGCCCACCTGCCTGCTTTCGGTGTTTATTCCCTTTGTATTTATTGGTCCAATTTTTAAACTCTCGCCCTTGTGGGAAGCCCTTCAGGGGGCAAGGATCCAAAATAAAATGCTGATTAAAATGCATAAAACACGTCTCTGCAATTGCAGGAGTAACCAGCGGGATTCGCCCTGCCAGGAAGGCAGGAGCACACTGCCCACTCAGCAGTTCTGGTGACCCCCTCAGACACAGCCCTGTCAGCACCCCTCAATGACAGGGGCCCCCTGGGGGTGCCAGGCCAGGAGACTAGGCCCCGTGTGCTGTGTTCCTGCCGTGCCAGCTCGGGCAGGCTTCTTAACCTCTCCAGGCCTCAGTTTCCCCACCTTTCAGGACAGCCACATGTAAAAGGTGAGGGATGAGGCAATTAGGAGGATGTACCCTTCTGAAGCTATCTTGGTCCCGGGGAGCATGGCCTGTCGTCTGCGGGTCTAACTGCCAGGCCGGAGTGTGGCAGCCACGCCAAGCAATGCTTTTCCATCGACGTATGTGAACTCTCCACTCTGTCATTGCTCGGCGGGCCTGCTCACTCACAGGGCCTCAACCCCTGCACAGACTCTTGCATACATTCTTTCAGAGGACACCCCTGGGTGCTGCTCTGTGAGACAGAAGCACCCGTGACTGTTTGACCCAGGATTAAGCATACATCACGGGCGCGGCGCCAGGCGCTGAGGATCTGAGCGTATCTGCCTCTTTGTTCAGGTTCCCAGGAAGCTCTCACCTTTAGTCGTTATGCATGACTTCGTGGGATTCTTTCCTCACTGGCTGGCTTTATCTTTTTATCTTGTTGCATAATGTTTTCTGTCAGTTGTCTCAAGTTATTTTTAGAACAAGGTGTGCTCTACAGCAGTCATGTAACGTCACTACTAATAAGTGTAAGGTGCTTCAGTGTCATGGGAAAGAGTTGATTTCTGACTGCGTAGGTTCCGGATGGCTCCGTGGAGGAGGCGACATTTGGCAAGGGAGGTCACAAAGGCTGCTAGGGCAGGAGGCTGGGAGAGTCCTCCAAAAGCAGATGGTTTAGAGCCAGGACAAGGTGGGGACACCTGGGTGGTTTCACGGAGCAGACTGGTGGCAGAGGAGTACGTGGGTAGGTTGAGGCAGGGTGGTGGTGGCTTTGAATGCTTTATTCTCGTGTATGTGAGGGACTTATCAGCATCTCAGGTGCCCTGTGCCATTTCTGTCCCCCCTGTCAGTCCTCAGCCCCCTCTCCAGCAGCCCCCACTTCGCCCACCAGCCCAGCCCTGCGCTGGGTGCTAAAAGTCCTATTTACCTCTCCGGGTCCCCAGCCTCATACCCGCGCCGGCCCCAGCTGCCAGCACAATTACTTATTGATCGCCTGTCAGGATGTTTGCTTTTCTGGTGGGTGACTGGAGCATGTGTGACTGTGGAAAATGGCCTGGTGGGGGTGGGGTGGGGGAGGCTGAACCACAGGAGTCTGGAGAGAGGATGAGAGGGGCTGAGGGGAGGTGGGGGGTGGGCAAAGCCGTTGGGGATGACAAAACCTTGCAGATTCCATAACATGTCAGTAACACCCAGAGCCCTCTCCGGTTAATCAGTCACTTAGTCGATCAACAACCAGGGAGCACTGTCAGTCCTGGGAGACTGCAGGAGCACCGGAAGTTGTGTGGCATGTCTCGCAGACTAGAGCTCTGGTCCCAGATCCACCCCCTTCTACAGGCTGGGTTTCCTTGGGCAGCCACAGGCTCTTTGAGCCCCCCTTGCCTGAAGAGTTGAAGTCTGGGTGACAAGACCTGTGGCCTTGAAAGCAGAGGCTCTGTACAGGTGTGTGTTGGGGTGAGGGTGTGCTGGGAGAGATGGGAGAAGGGCCTGATCAGGGGCAGAGATGTGGGGCCCTCCCAGCCTGGGCGTCCCCTTCCTGTGGTGAGCCCCCCTTGGCACCATGTGTGTGGGGTGTGTGAACAGGGCAGAGGCCCAAGGGTGGCATGTGAGCAGTTGGGCTATTGTTTGGCCCCCAGAGACCACCTGGCCCAACCCCTGGGGTTTCAAGAAGTCCAGACTAGCCCTCCTAGCTCCCTGCTGACCTTGCTGTTCCATGGGGTGGAACAGAGGAGGGAAGGAGGAGGTGGCAGAGGCAATCTGGGCACAGGTGGGAGCAAGTAGCCTCTCAACACAGCTGGGGGAGAGCCACGGGGGTGGAGGGGGCGGGGAGGCTCACTCTCCCACACCCCTTGCTTACTCCACCCGCGGCCTGTACTCAAGCTGGGCCCCCTCCTGGCGCCACTACCCCTGTCACGGCCACCCAAGCCCGTCGTGTTCCTCAGGGCCCAGCTGTAACGAGCCTTGCGTCCTCAGTGCCACAGTGTGGACGGGCGCCTCCAGCTGCCACTGCCGTCCTGGGCTATGGGAATCTGAATGCTCCCACCTCAGACTAGCAGCCTCACAGAACCCCGGCTCCAGGAGGAGTGTGATCGGAACCCCCAGAGACAGATGGGAGGCATCAGGGTAGAGTCCTGGGTTCTGGCGGGGGTGCCCTCCACTGATCCAGAAACCCCATTGGGAAGCAAATTAATGCACACTGACAGGTGCCACTGGGTTTGCTGATATCCCAGGACTCTTGGGCTGGGGGCTCAGCTGCAGTGCTGGTGAGGAGGGCGCCGTGGTGTCTGTGCCTGGGGAAGTTCAGGCTAAAGGCTGAGAGGGTGGCCCCCAGCAGCCTCAGAAGCCCTGGCCTGACAGCCTGGGGACCAGACATGCTCCTCTGCAGGCTGTTTCCAGAGGCTTCAGCCTTTGGGCCCCTTTGATTCCCTCGGTGAGCCCCGAGGCCACTCAGCAGGTCCGGCTTTCTCCCTGATGAGCACCAGGGGAAGCTGAGGCTCGGGGCGTGGGGTGGGGTACGGGGTGTGTGCCTGGATCACATTGCCTGTAAAATGTAAACTGTAAAGGAGGAGGATGCCACCTGGGGTGCCGATGTCAGGCTCCTCTGAGGTGACCCTGTCCTTTCAGGGAACCCCCTCAACCCCAGGGGTGCTGGGAAATTCCTTGGGAGGGCTCTGGGCAGGATAGGGAGCAAGGAGGAAGCAGCACGGGGTGGCAGGAGGCTCTCCGGCTTGGGCATCGGGACCTCACTGTGGGGTTCCAGGAGCGACCTATACCACTGTGGACCCCCAGCTCTCCGTGTCGGGGACATTCTAACAGGGGCAGGAGGGCACAGACTGGGGTCCAGACAGACCCTTTCCTCTAACCGCCCCCTCTGTCCTGTGCTTGCTCCTGGCTGCAGGTGAGCGAGAGGATGCTGGCGGGGGGCGCGAGGAGCATGCCCAGCCCCCTCCTGGCCTGCTGGCAGCCCATCCTCCTGCTGGTGCTGGGCTCGGTGCTGTCAGGCTCCGCCACGGGCTGCCCGCCCCGCTGCGAGTGCTCGGCCCAGGACCGCGCCGTGCTCTGCCACCGCAAGCGCTTCGTGGCGGTTCCGGAGGGCATCCCCACCGAGACCCGCCTGCTGGACCTGGGCAAGAATCGCATCAAAACGCTCAACCAGGACGAGTTCGCCAGCTTCCCACACCTGGAAGAGCTAGAGCTCAACGAGAACATCGTGAGTGCCGTGGAGCCCGGCGCCTTCAACAACCTCTTCAGCCTCCGGACGCTGGGGCTGCGCAGCAACCGCCTGAAGCTCATCCCCCTGGGCGTCTTCACCGGCCTCAGTAACCTGACCAAACTGGACATCAGCGAGAACAAGATTGTCATCCTGCTGGACTACATGTTCCAGGACCTGTACAACCTCAAGTCGCTGGAGGTCGGCGACAACGACCTCGTCTACATCTCCCACCGAGCCTTCAGCGGCCTCAACAGCCTGGAGCAGCTGACACTGGAGAAATGCAACCTGACCTCCATCCCCACCGAGGCGCTGTCCCACCTGCACAGTCTCATCGTCCTGAGGCTCCGGCACCTCAACATCAATGCCATCCGGGACTATTCCTTCAAGAGGTTGTACCGGCTCAAGGTCTTGGAGATCTCCCACTGGCCCTACTTGGACACCATGACACCCAACTGCCTCTATGGCCTCAACCTGACATCCCTGTCCATCACACACTGCAATCTGACCGCCGTGCCCTACCTGGCTGTGCGCCACCTGGTCTATCTCCGCTTCCTCAACCTCTCCTACAATCCCATCGGCACCATTGAGGGCTCCATGCTGCATGAGCTGCTACGGCTGCAGGAGATCCAGCTGGTGGGCGGGCAGCTGGCTGTGGTGGAGCCCTATGCCTTCCGCGGCCTCAACTACCTGCGTGTGCTAAACGTCTCGGGCAACCAGCTGACCACACTGGAGGAGTCAGCCTTCCACTCGGTGGGCAACCTGGAGACGCTCATCCTGGACTCCAACCCGCTGGCCTGCGACTGCCGGCTCCTGTGGGTGTTCCGGCGCCGCTGGCGGCTCAACTTCAACCGGCAGCAGCCCACCTGTGCCACACCCGAATTCGTCCAGGGCAAGGAGTTCAAGGACTTCCCGGACGTGCTCCTGCCCAACTACTTCACCTGCCGCCGCGCCCGCATCCGGGACCGCAAAGCCCAGCAGGTGTTTGTGGACGAGGGCCACACGGTGCAGTTTGTGTGCCGGGCAGATGGCGACCCGCCGCCCGCCATCCTCTGGCTCTCACCCCGCAAGCACCTGGTCTCGGCCAAGAGCAACGGGCGGCTCACAGTCTTCCCCGACGGCACGCTGGAGGTGCGCTACGCCCAGGTACAGGACAATGGCACGTATCTGTGCATCGCGGCCAACGCGGGCGGCAACGACTCCATGCCGGCCCACCTGCATGTGCGCAGCTACTCGCCCGACTGGCCCCATCAGCCCAACAAGACCTTCGCTTTCATCTCCAACCAGCCGGGCGAGGGAGAGGCCAACAGCACCCGAGCCACCGTGCCTTTCCCCTTCGACATCAAGACCCTCATCATTGCCACCACCATGGGCTTCATCTCTTTCCTGGGCGTCGTCCTCTTCTGCCTGGTGCTGCTCTTTCTCTGGAGCCGGGGCAAAGGCAACACGAAGCACAACATCGAGATCGAGTACGTGCCCCGCAAGTCGGACGCAGGCATCAGCTCTGCCGACGCGCCCCGCAAGTTCAACATGAAGATGATATGAGGACGGGGCGGGGGAGGGGCAGGGACCCCCCGGGCTAGCCGGGCAGGGGAAGGGGCCTGGCCGCCATACGCTCGCTCCTCGATCCTTCCCGCCTCTCCCTGCCCCTCCACACACACTCTTTTTCTTCCTCCCAGCCCCATTCCCTGCTGCCCGCCCCACCCCCCCGCCGGCCCTCACCGCCTGCCCTCTTCCTAGCAGGACCTCAGCAGTCCAGGCCTGGGGACCCACCTGCACAGGGGCACTCGTTGACAGACTGGAGTCGGAAGCTGACAGACCGACATGCAGCACAGTCAATAATTCAATAAAAAAAGTTACGAACTTCCTCTGTAACTTGGGTTTCAATAATTATGGATTTTTATGAAAACTTGAAATAATAAAAAGAGAAAAAAAAACACTATTTCCTATAGCTAGTCGGAATGCAAACTTATGACGTCCTGATTGCTCCAGGGCCCTCTTCCAACTCAGTTTCTTGTTTTTTCTCTTCCTCCTCCTCCTCCTCCTTCTCTTCCTCCTTTCTCTTCTCTTCCCCTATGGGGAGGGATCACTCAGGAAAACAGGAAAGGAGGTTCGAGCCCCACCTGCCCGGGCGACCGACACGAGCAGGCAGCGGGGCAGGTGCGGGCCCAGCTCTGGGCTGGCTGTTTGCAGGGAGCAGGTGGAGGAGACAGGGCTGCCTGAAGGGGGTGGGGGCTGTCTGCCAAGCTGCCAGGAAGCACTACTGCCAGGGGTTGGGGGGCCTGGCTCGGGTGTGGCCGAGACTCTGGACAGAGGCTGGGGTCCTCCCGGAGGACAGCACAGTCAGTGGAGAGAGCCAGGGGCTGGAGGCGGGACCGAGGCCTAACTTCTGGTCCCAGCTCTGCTGCTGACTTACGGTGTGGCTTCAAACAGGTCATTGACCCTCTCTGGGCCTCAGTCTCCACATCTGTACAAATGGAAACGTTACTCCCCGCCCTGCCTACCTCACAGGGCTGTTGTGAGGAATTGATGAGATGATGTATGTGAAACACTTTGTAACCTGTAAAGCGCTGTGCACATGTGTGGGTGACTGTTCTCATTATGGTCATTATTATCTCACTGTCGGGGATGGGGCTCCCGAAGGGATCTCCATGGGGTCAGGGTTGGGGGCACACCAGGGGAGGGCCGCTCCAGGGACTTTCAGAGGCTCCTTCCAGGACAGCGGTCCAGGCCACCACCAACCATACTCTGAGCCTAGTCTGGGCTCTGAAGAGTCATGGGTTTGGGGGTAGGATCCAGGCACTCAAGCTGACCTAGAGGGTCAGAAGCGGCCCCGCCCATTCACACCAAACCCAGCCATTCCAGACTCGGCCCTGGAAAGGCATGTCCCGGATGACAGAAGTACAAAGAGCCAGCCAGGTCACCTTGTAACTTGCCCTGACACCGTGGGCCCTGGCTCGAGAAGCTGGGCCAACGACCCATGTGCTCATCCCCATCCCCGTCAGGCAGGGGGTGCCCACCAGGGTAGGGAGGCCTGGCTTCTCCCCTCCGAGTTTCCTCTTTCTCCTCAGGGACTACTTGGATTCAGCCCCACGGTGGGCCCAAGATGACCCTGCTCCCTGTTAGTCCTCAGGCTAGGGGAGAATCCAGTGATGCAGACTTACGCTGAATGTGAAGGGGAAGCAGTGGGGAGGTCAGCACTTGACAACAGGACTTCAGAATGTAGCTCCTCCATCCGGGGCTCTTCCTGGGGCTCACACCCCCAACCCAAGTTGGCACGGACTAGGTAGCTGCATGCCTAGCACCTTCTAAACCAAACCTCTGGTGGGGTGGCCTGGTGAGCAGAGTCTGGCAGGGAGTTGGCACTCATTCATTCATTCATTCATGCATTCATTCATTCACTCATTCATTCATTTATTTGATCCACAGATGTACCCGAAAGCCTGCTCTGCTCTCGGTTCCCAGCTGATGCAGCTTACAGCCAACAGCTGGGACAGACTGCCCCGATCCACCTCTCTCAGCAACAACCCCAGGACTGTCCCTGATTCTGGGTAAACCTCAAGCCCTTGGAACTATGGTTTTATCCCTTGGAAGAAACAGGAACATCTCTCTATAGGCTTCTGGAATGTTGGTGTGGAAAGGTTGATGGTCCCTGCAGAGCAGCCTAGACTAGTGATTATAGGCTCTGAGGTTTGAGGTCAGATCTGGGTTTGAGGTCCTGTTCTAGCACTTACTAGCTGTTTGGGATTGTTACTTAACTCCTCCGAACCTCAGTCTGCTTATCTGTAACATAAAGATGATCTTACTACTTTTGGTTGTTAGGACGTTAAGTGAAGGAGCATAGGTGTATTTGTTGATTGATGTGGTGCCGGGCACTCAGTGAGCCCTCTACCAGCGGTGGTGGTGATTACTATCAAGGCCAACTCCGGTACAGATGCAGAGACTGAGGACCAGAGAGGGTGGTAGCTTATTGAAAGCCACACAGCTTCTAGGTGACAGGACCAGGGCCTGGGAGTTCCAGAGTCCCAGAGCCATAGCCTTCTAAGCCTGGCTTGGGACTTCTTAGAGCCAGGCCCGGGGACTCCCATCGGCAGGAGACCACAGGGGCACAGGAGCATGGAGGGGAGTCCTTGAGCAAGGGGGTGGCTTGTACACCACAAGAGGCCAATGGTATCACTTGAGGCCCCACGACCCTGAGAGGGCTGCTCACCTCCAGAGAGAGACCAGAGCACAGACTCTCCATAACCCCAGCTCTAGATACCTTGGTGGGCACTGTTCTCCCTCAGGAGCCAATGGGAGCCAATGGCTGACAGTGGGATTGTTACTTAACTCCTCTGGGATGCCTGGGGCTTCACAAGGTCTGGGAAGAGGGCCAATTTATTCTCGGCCACCATGAGGCAGCCAGACCTCTGAGGAAACTCAAGGACACAGGAAAATTGTGAGGTTGTTTTTGGATCGGGGAGAGAGTCATTTTGGGGGAATGTGAACGCCCAGGGCGGGCGGCTGGGTTGGCCCGAGCAAAGGCAGCCTGGGCTTTAGTACTACCCCTTCTTAGCTGTGGGACCTCCTTCTGTAGAAAAGAGGAATGGACTTGACTTTTAAGAGCCCTGGCCAGATTTAACGGGGGAATAGGCTGAAAAGTCAGGCTGAAGAGGTTACTTTCTCCATGGCCTGAGAGCCTCTGATGGGGAAAGAGGAGGAGCAGGTATCCTCAGCCCCAACTGTGTGTGAGGCACACCCACCGCTGGGAGCCTGAACCCAGAGGTGGTCTGGGCGGCCCATGTTGCACACAGTCCTAGTTAGGTCTGCCTCAGGCCCAATGGGGTTGTGGGGTCCAGATGTCCTGCCTGATAGGAGGCTGGCTGCTCTGCTCACCCCTCAGCCTGGGTCCAAGCTATTGGGGAAAAGGCAAGATAATCCTGAGAGTCCAGCCTGATTTCCAGGGGACCGAGACCAGAGGCAGCCTCCAGGCTTGCTCCTCCAGGAGACAGGGGTGCCTTGAAGAGAAGGGTGGCAGGACTGGGAGCCTACCTTGGGCAAAAGCGAGTGAATGTGGACAAAGACGGCACCCAGCTGGGTATTAGCAGCCAGCACCCGGATCACCACCACCTCTGCCCCACCTCTGCTTTACCCTTCACAAGCCCCTCTCTGGGGCTCACAGAGGGGAAGTAACCCCCTCAGAGTCACACAGCAGAGTGATGGCTGGGGCGTGGGCTTTGGAGTTAGGCAGACCTCAGTTTAAATTCCATCTCAGATAGTAGCAGAGTCACGCAGCGGAAGCGTGCTGGGCCCATAAATTCCATCTCAGGTGTGACAACTTTTTGGTGTGCAATAATCACCACCATTATTAGCATGGCATCCTTATGGACAACCAGGGGAGTGGTGGTTGAACTCAGGAACCGAGAAAGGAAGGGACTGTATGGGGGACAGTGAGGGACAAAAGGAGCTGAAACTTCAAATGAGATCGGGGTAGAAGCCAAGCCTGGTGATGCCCTCCGAATTGCCCCCGAAGGCTCAGGGCTGTGTGGAAGGATAGAGGCAGACCTCAGGCCATCAGGGCGGTGTGCCCAGGACAGAGAGAGTGGCCATGCCCTGGGGCCCTGGAGGACAAGGCCCCCACCTGCGTGCGTGTGCGGGAATGGAGGTCACAGGGAGCAGGGGAGAAGGGGTCAGAGAAGCAGTGTAGACCCTAGCGGGTATTAGGAGTCCTGGGGGGCCTTGAACTTTGGGGGGCCTGAAGACAAAATTCATGAGGTACAAGGATCAGGGGCAGCACAAACCATCTGGAGTTAAGTGATTTACTGGGGACCTCACAGAACTTGGTTCCATGTCTATCAGCTTTCCTGCTTCTCTCCCAATTTGATGTCCTCTGATAACACAGGGTTAAAAGTCACCTCCGCTCCCATTCCAAAGCCCAACTCCAGCCTCCTTCAGAGTCTGACTTGCTAGGATCTCTGATCTCCTCATTCATATTCTCCAGAGAAAAGGTCTGATTAGCCGCCTGCCAACCAATGGATTGACTGCCTCTAAATCAGGTGCTCATCTCCTTGTCCAACCAGCTCAACCCGATCTAAGCCAAGTTTGGGTAAAGATGGTGCAGAAAGAGCTAAGAGACATATCAATTATTTATTCCTGCATGTCAATCACCCCAAAACTTAGTGGTTCAAAACGACAACCATTTATTTGCTCCAATTTGCAACCTGGGCAGGGCTTGGTAAGGACAGCTCATGTCAGTTCTGCATGGTGTTGATTAGGGAGACTTGCCTGGGGCCAAAAGATCCAAGGTGGCTTCTGGCCATGTCTGTCTCAGCTGGGGAGGTTGGAAGGGTTAGAGGCCAGCTTCTTTATTTCCACGTGGTCTCTCCAGCAGCCTAGCTGGACTTTTTTATGGTGGCTCAGCACTCCCAAGATGGCAAAATGGAAACTGCCAGGTCTCTTGAGGCCTACGCCAGGAATCAAGGCAAGTCACAGGTCTGCCTAGATTCAAGGGGAGGAAGGACAGACCCCAGCTCTTGGTGGGAAGAGCTGCAGAGTCACGTAACACT